GGAAATCTATTTGATGGTGGTGAGGTTTGAAATTATGATTACCTGTAAATGAAATTTTATCGATTACCTGTAAAGGAAATCTTCCAAATAAATGAAAAAAGGAAATCTATTTGATGATGAATTGTTTTTTTTGTTGTTATTTGAATTAATTATAATAATTTTAATTATCAAATAATTTGCTTATATAATCATTCGATAATATTTATAAATTCATCTTTAGATAATATTCATAAATTCACATATAAATTCATTTGTTCGATATTATAAATATATGATAAGGTACTATTTATTACTTATAAATTGAAGATAAAAATAATTTCAACAAATTTTTTTTAACATTTTTAAAATGAAAAAATTTGAATAATTTATATTTACACGAAAATTATTTTGCTTTAAATTCCATCTAATGGATAATTAATTGTTGTGCTTTAATAGTGAGATTTTAAGTGATAAATAGAAATTATTAACAAATTCTAAGCATGAAATTTGCTCACAAATGTCAATCATTCAACGAAATATTCATTTGCTTACAATTATAAATCATTCTTTCTTCTTTTTAAATTATTAGAAAAATTTTTTGATTTTAAACTATCAAAAATGATATATTACTAATCATTAAAAATAATGAAAGATGATATATTATTAATTATCATTATTATTATTATTTATTATTATCATTTATTTATTATTATTATTGATAATATTGTTATTAATGATTAATAATATTATTATTATTGTTATTATTATGCTACTATAATTATCATTATTATTATTATTTATATTATTATACTGTTATTATTATTATTAATATTATTATTATTTATAATTTGATATAATTAAAATTTGCTTACAAATATTAATCATTCGTCGAAATATTCATTTCATACTTCAAAATATTCACTTTATATAATATATATGTATACATTAATATTATAAACAAATTAATTTAAGTAAAAAAAGGATTTAACTTTTTCATTATTTAAGATTAAAATTTTCTCTAATAATTTAAGAAAAAGGAATTCCATAATCAATTATACGTGCATATTAACATATTCCAATAAATGATTTTTGTTAAATTAAAAAAAAAAAAGAAATTCTCTAATTATTTCTCGTAATTAATAATAATCAATTATAGAATATATTAATATGCATGATATAATTAAAATTAGGCAAATTCATCACGATTATTAGTTTCTTTTAATGAATTTAAAGAAAAGGAATTCCATAATCAATCAATCATACGTGCATATTAATATATTCCATAAATGTTCTTTAATGAATTTAAAAAAAAGCGAATTTCATAGTCAATAATCATACGTGCATATTAATATATTCCATAAATGATCTTTAACAAATTGAAAAAAAAAAACGTATTCCATAATCAGTCATACGTGCATATTAACATATTCCATAAATGATTTTTATTAAATTAAAAAAAAAAGGAATTCGATAATTATTTTATAATTAATATCATATCAATTATAAAATATATTGATATGCACGTATGATGTAATTAAAATTAGGGAAATTCATCAGGATTATTAGTTTTTTTTCAATGAATTTAAACAAAAAGGAATTCCATAATTAATCGTACGTGCATAATAATACATTCCATAAATGTTCTTCAATGAATTTAAAAAGAAGAACGAATTCCATAATCAATCATATGTGCAATATATATTATTAATATATATTCTATAATTGACATATGAATAATTACAAAATGATATGATTAAAATTAGAAAAATTCTTCGGAAATTATATCAATATCAAATTTTCAAAATTATCACTTCTTTCTTTCTTTCGCTTCACATTTTTCTTGCTTACTGTACTTTAATTTTACTTTTACTTTAATTTTTACTGTATCTTTTCTTTTTCTTTCTTCCATTTTCATAATCTTTTCCAAAGCAAAATTTTCTCTGATAATTTCTGTGTCTTATAATAGCATTTATTTTTCTCTCTTTTCTTGCTTACCGTACTTTAATTTCACTTTTATTTTAATATTTACTGCATCTTTTCTTTTTTCTTCTTCCGTTTTTCATAATCTTTTTCAAAGTAAAATTTTCTCTGATAATTTTTTACGCCTTATAAATATAGCATTTCATTAATCATTAAAATAAAACAATGCTTAGTTTGGAGGAGAAAATTAGAAAACTTTGAAGTGCTACATTATTTCATACATTTCAATGTTTTGAAATTTTCTAAATCATTTAAAGCATTTTCTTAAATTTCTTCTTTATTTATTTATTTTAAATTTTTTTCTTTGAATTTCTCTTCAGCAAAATAAAATGAGGAAAAAACTTTAGCCTATATTTTATCCATTAGTTCATTTTTAATTCTTTTTATCGCTCGTTTTCTTTTTTTCACACAAAAAACATTATTTTAATTAAAAAAAAATATTATTTCAATTAAAATGTGAAATTTTTCAAAAAATCTATTTGTATTTCAGTTTGTTCTTTTTCTTTTCCATATTATATAATATATGTATATATATGATTTTCTTTCTTTCTTTTTCCTTTTTAGCTAATTATAATTTTCATTATTTCCAATTTTTCTCAAAATAAAAATGCATGAGAAATGTTATTTCATTCATATGGAATAATTTAACTATTTAAATCGATTAATCTTCGTTTTTTTCATTTTCAGAAAATTATTTTTATTCCATTTTTATATGATTGATGATAATTTATAATGTTAACGGAAAAAAAATTGTTGATTCCTAAAATATTCAATTTAATCCGGTAAAAATTTTCCGATTTTACAGATTACAACCAAATTTTTGATACTATAAAATTCTGTAATAATTCTGTAAAATTTTTGAATCTGTAAAATTTTGTAGAGATTCTGTAAAATTCTGTAAAGATTCTGTAAAATTTTTAATTCTGTAAAATTCTGTAAAAATTCTGTAAATTTTTGATTCTGTAAAATTCTGTAAATTTTTGATTCTGTAAAAGATAATGTAAAATTTCTAATTTCAATCAATAATAGCAATTTATTTGTTTTTAAATTTATTTGGAATTAATTTTGGTACAAAAAACAAAAAACAGTTGAATTTTCAGGTTAATTTTATTCATTAAATTTTTTTTCTAAATTTTAATATAACTTTCAGTACGATAATTTAATGTAACATTTTTTTATACGATAAAGAAATAAATAGATTGATTTATAAAAATAAAGAATGTCTTTATGAAATTTTATAATCAATAATAGCAATCTATTTGTTTTTAAGTTTACATGGAATTAATTTTAGGGCTAAAACAAAAAAACGGTTAAATTTAATTTCAGGTTAATTTTATTCAATAAATTTGTTTTCCAATAATTTTCAATATAGAGCTTTCAGTAAGGATAATTTAATGTCACAAATTTTATACGGTAAGCAATTAAACAGATTGATTTATGAAAAATGACTTTATGAAATTTTATAATGTAATGCGAGAATTTATTGACTTTGTAGAAAATGCTTTCTTCATTCTCTTCTTTTTTTCAGGAATTATCACAGCAAGTAATTAGGGTGTAAAAATTATTGAAAAAGAGAAAAGAAGAAATTTGAAATTAATAGAGTCTCTTCAAATTGAAATAATAACTTTACGCTTATAAGAGCACTCTGAAATTTTCTTTTCTCTTCTCTCAAACTTTACAAACATAATTTGTAAGAAATAATTTGTTTGATGCATAACTTTAAAATGATTCATATTTTAGCAATATCGAAATAGCTAAATGAAATTTTCCTATATTTTAGCAATATCAAATAGGTGAGATCGTTTCATATTTTAATAATATCGAAGTGGGTAAGTGAAATCATTTCATATTTTAGCAATATCGAAAGAGGTAAGTGAAATCGTTCCATATTTTAACAATATCAAAATAGGTAAGTGAAATTGTTTCATATTTTAGCAATAACAAATAGGTAAGTGAAATCGTTCCGTATTTTAATAATATCGAAGTAGATAAGTGAAATCATTTCATATTTTAGCAATAACAAATAGGTAAGTGAAATCGTTCCATATTTTAACAATATCAAAATAGGTAAGTGAAATCATTCCATATTTTAACAATATCAGAGGTAAGTGAAATTATTTCTTCTTCGATTAAACAAAAATTTAAATAAACTAATTTCTGATTATTAGTCTGTTTGTTTATTTTATTTTTGTTAAATACTAATAATAAATGAAATGAAATGATAAAAATTACTTATTTTAATTTTCAAATGTATTTTTGGCTTTTTTCTTAAATAAATCTTTTTTTACTTCGCTTTTTTTTCAATTTAAACTAATAATTAATCTTTTGTTTTATTTTTCTTTCTCTTTCATCATTTCTCATTTTCTTCAATAATCATTTTTTAGTTTTCAATTGTTAAATAATGAATATATTTGAAATGGATGAAAAAGAAAGACAAATAAAAAAATTTATTAGAAATTTTAATTGATAAATGATCAATGATTAAAATGATATTTTCTTTGTTTTATAACATGATAACAAATAATTCTTTCATCTTTTGTCGTATAATTGAATAGTTGCTATCGTATGGAGAAGGTAAATGAAACGAGGTATGAGATTATAAAAATCATCCAATTATAGTATAAAATAATAAGTATATGCGATGATTCATTTTCTTCGCCTTTGGTAACATTCGTTCCACCTGACTCTTTTCGATTCATTTCCAATTAGTTTTGATGACAATTTTCCTTTCTACTATTATCTAAACTAATGCTTATTAATTTCAGAAATATATCCTGGATTTCAAAATTCAAATTTTTTTAAATTCCTATTTCTCTTATTAAATTTAGAAATTTTTATGTTTCATATATGTGTATATATATTCTATATCGTCCAACATAATTTCTTCTAATTCTTATTTCTCTTATTAAATTTTGAAATTTATGTTTCAGAGATGTATATATATATATTCGAAATGATTAGTTTTAAATTTAAGAAATTTTAATTTACTAATTATATGTATAATTAATCTAGAAAATTGTTAATATATATATAAAAACTGGATGAATTGCTCATGCCTTACTTGGAATCGGAATAGAATTCTGGCAAATGAACCTGATCAGTATAATAAATCAAATGCTAAGAAGATCGATAGTGAATTTAACGATCCTCGAATACCACTAACAAGGAAGCAAAAATTTGTTTTAATCAAAAATTGGAAAGGTATTGAACGCGATGTAACAACTGCTGGTATTGAAATGTTCCTGAAGTAATTTTAGAATTTCTTACTTTATCTTAATTAAGTAATTTGTTTTTTCGTGCTAAATAATAATTAATTTGTTTTCATTATTTTATTTGAAATTTCAATCAGTTTCAATTTTATCAATAAATGATAGAAAACGAATAGTTGTTAAATGAAAATTAAAAAATAGAATTATTTGATAAAGAAAGTATTTCTTGATTAATGAAACTCTTTTTCAATTATTTGTATTTCATTAATTAATTAATTGTCGAAGGAATTTTTTAATTCCTTTTCTTTTATGCAGAATGCTAGCAGAACATCCGGAATATTATGATTTATTTAAATTTCGAAATATTGCTAATACAACGAAAGAGAATCAAGCAAACGATGAGAGACTAAGTGCTCATGGTGCTGCTGTCATGAAATTCATTGGAAAAGCAATCAGGTTATTCCTATTAATTATTTTTTCATTAATTTCATCCAATGAATCTATGTTTAGTCAATATGCTGCCAAGTAGACTACATGCTGTCGTATTATTAAACGGTTATTCATACAGATGTAAACTGCAGCGTTTATGATATAATTCTATTTTTTAAAATTATTAGCTAACTTTTTTTTTTGAAGTAATTTAACTTAATTAAAAATAGCTTAATTAAAAGCTCTAATTAAAAATTGCTACCACCAGTATGAAGCAGCATTACAGCTAATTAATATCCGGAAATTTCAACATGATCGACATCTTCTTATCCGTTTGAAGATTAATTATTACAAAAGAAAAATCTGAATACTATCTAGTAGTAAATAAATTTCAAATTAAAATTACAACTTTTATAGTCAAATTGAAAATGCAGATGAATTTTTCATGCTACTCGAAGTTAACGGAAAGCAACATGCTTATAGAGGAGCATTCAAACCGGAAATGTTCTGGGTAAGTTATTTTTCCGTTTATCGGCAATTTGAAATTGTTAAATTTTCTTTTGAAACTTTTTTTAACTAACCCCTATGCATTGCATATAAAAAGATTAAAGTATTAGATTTAACATATTTTAGGGAAAAACTTTTTTGTCCGGTTTATTTGCTTTCGATTCGTCTACATCGTTTGTATCCCATATATAATGAATTAATACAGCTAAAACACATAATAAATATTGTTTTGAGATAATCCGGAATTCTCATGGGAATATTAAACTTCCAGATGATCACGTCATCAATTATTTTTTCAATGAAACAAAAATTTTTAGGAAATGGAAAATCCATTTCTCTATTCAGTGAAACTAATTCTTGGTGAGCGTTATACGGATAATATGGATGCAATTTATAAAACTGTCATTCAATTAATTCTACAACGAATGGAAGAAGCATGTCGAACAGAATCAATGAAAATTCGAAATAAAAATATTACAATGTAAAATTATGAAAATGAAAATGATTTCATCCGATTGTTTTTATTCTATAAAACAACAATTGAAGATGATAAAGAGATAATCTTGCCAACAATGATATTATTATTATTATTGATAATATTATCATTCGGTATGATAATTATTATCACTATGAATCATTGCAATTTGTTTTAGCAGAAGTAAAAATTTAAATTGCAAACTAAATATATAAGAAATGTTCTCATGAAATTAATCATTAATTCATTATGAAATGCATTAGTGAATTTCTATGGGTTTTTATTAATAAAAATATAAATTATTTTCTATTTTTATTATAACTATAAAAATGAATGGTCACATTGGCTTAATCTATTAGATAATATTAGCATACGTTTATAAGTCTATAAAGGTGAATGATCTAATGCTACATATCATCGACTAAATCTGTTAGATAGCATTAGTATACCTATAAGTTATAAAGTTAAAAAATAACCTACAAGTCTGATGATATGTAACATTGGCTAAATCGATTAGATAATATTAGTATACCTATAAGTCTATGAAGATCTTATGATATGTATCATTTGGCTAAATCTATAGACAGTATTAATATACCTATAAGTCTATAAAGGTAAATGATTTGATGCTATGTATCGCCGACTAAATCTATTAGATAGCATTAGTATACCTATAGGTTATAAAGATGAATGGTCTAATGATATGGAACATCAGCTAAATCGATTAGATAGTATTAGTATACCTAGAAGTCTATAAAGATCTGATAATATGTATCGTTGCTAAATCTATTAGACAGTATTATTATATCAATAAGTCTATAAAGGTGAATGGTCCGATGATATATATGATTGGGTAAATATATTTGATAATATTAGTATCATATCAAGTATCATATGTATCATATTAAGAAATTAATATTGTTAATTTTACAGCATATTATATGCTAGATAATAGTAAGCTTTTTCTTTTTTCTATCAAATATTTTTTAGAAGAAATAAAGCAATTTAATAGTACCATATAAATGATTACATTGTTGAAAGAGTTCAAGTTTTCAATTATAAAATCCATCTTGAGCAATAATTTGTTGTAAAAAGTGGAAGAGCTTAAAAAAACAAGCAACATCCATTTTTCCGGAATATCATGAACCGGAAATGCACTAAATATATATCGAATTTCAATCAATTATCTTCTTGCAATGATATGAATGCTATTGTGAATAGAGAAAGTTGGAGAAAATGCTAGTAAGTATTTATTTGATGTTTTATGATTTAAATTAAAATTATATGTGAAAGTTAAATTAAAATTTTATGTGACCTTCTTGATCTTTTTTTCCTTTGTAGCAATTTCATCATGTTTCGTTTTCATCGGATTGAAATACGACGATGAATAAGGTATGCGACTACCCGCGGGCAATATCGACAGGTAGGTCTGGACCCAAATTTAACCAGACAAAACCTGCTGATATTGGCCTTGGGCAATCAATTCTGAAAAAAGAAGAAAACGAAAAGTTGCAAAATAAATCTGAAAAATTGTCATCGCAACTAATCCATCACTATCGGATAAGATTTCAACATAGTTTCATTAGTTACTACTCCGTTACAATTAATATTGAAACGTTGTTGAATAAAAGGATAACAAAGATCTATTTGATGATTTCAAATAGGTAAACGCAAAAAGTTGCATTGCATTCAAACAAATTGGTTCGAAATCTTTTTGTTAATTAAAGATTTAAAGAAAGCGGAAAAATGAAATGGATCATTGTCAATTTTTAATTATAATAAGCCTTCTTGTTCAAAAGTAAATTCAAATATTTTCCATTTTCATTTATAGCTTCATTTCGATAAAACACAACGTTACATTCAATTTTGATGAAATAAATTTTACACCTACAAAATATGATAAATATCAAAATCATTTGAGTGAGGTTAGTATTGAAGTGTAATTCATTTCTTTTCCCAGAATATTAGATCCCGAAAAGCAATCGGAAACTTTCAGCCTGATTTGCAACGTTTCCTGTATTGGCGAAATATTTTATTTTATCAACAAATTTCATTATTCCTTTAAAAGTAAGCATGATCATTATCTGTAAATGAAAAGACACTGTGCTATACCTATCGTGTATACGAACCATTAGGTATAGTTTGCCAGCTTATATCGTTATTCATCAGCAATATCCCAATATCTGTTGCGATTTATTTCAATTATGAGTAGTTATGTTAAATTTCCATAATTGTTTTATTTAGAGACCTTTCTGCTATTTTAGGATTTGAATCAATTTTAGCTAAACTTTCACTTTCAAAGTTTTAGAATAAAAAGAAGTTAGAAAAATGAGATCAAATCTTTCCAATGATAAGTTTATAATCGCCGCACTAAATTTCAATAGAATTTATTTCGATCATAATAGCATTTTCTTAGCTATTGTTTAGCAAAGATGTCCTGCGACAAATTCTAATGACATCTACTTCATCAATAGATGTCAGCTGTAAATTCAACTATCGATCTGTTACTTTAAAAATTCAACTATTGATCTGTTACTTTAGTAGCAAAAATTCAACTATCGATCTGTTACTTTAGTATCTGTTACTTTCGTAGCGCTAATTCCTAAATTACTCATTTAACAAAACTTTCAAAATTCATCAAATTGCACAGTAGAGCTGTCCGTAAACTTATCAGAAAGATAAAATTGGTGAGAAATTTATGACAAAAACATGATGAAAAATGCCACTTCGTTTGATCATCAAGAACTGTATCATTTGAAATGATGATGCCATGATTGGTTCCATCCCTTATCTCTATTTCGTTGTAGTTTTTTTCCCTATCATCCTTCCTATCTCTCTCTCCGATGTTTTTAAAACACCAATGAAATGAATCATGAAGCTCTTTTTTCATTTCGAGAAAGAAATATCAAAGGAAAAAAATGATGAAAAAATATGTATAGCTGCTGTAAGCTTTATGTCTATCAGATGGCTCAATCTCATCACTAAGCAAAATTATCTTGACATTCCTCGATTCGTTCTCATTCCTTTCCTTTCCATTCCTTTCATATATGTATCCTAGTTTAATTTTACAACAATTTTGTACAGAAGGAAAATGAAAGAAATACTATTTATTTTAAATGCAGTACATAAATGAGGTAAGGTGTATATTAATTTGTGACATAAATATCATTTAAAGCTTAAATACACTTATCGTCGTTTAAATTTTTTCACAACTTTTTTTTTGATTTGAAATGATTTGTAGATTATACAATATTTCCACAAAATTGACGTAATATATTGATCTCCTAATTTTTCTTGTTCCGATTCTATTAATAATAATAATGAAAGAAAAAGTACAAAAGACGAAAGACTATTTGATAGAATCATCATTCTTTGGTACTATTAGAAGATTAGTACACCACTGCGGTAAACTGCAGTTTTTTCTGAAGACGAATTGAATTACATGAAGTTTTGTTTATAGTTCTACCCTTAATAGATTCTTATCGTACAAATTCAGGATCGACTTGGCAATGACTTCGTGCGTATTCGGCATATATCCACCACTAAGTAGCATTACAACTGGAATATGCCTGCCGCGAGCCATTTTGAAAACAATTTCATCACGTTTTCGAATTCCCTAAAATTATTGCAACGAAATGATTTGATTCTGGCCTGGAAACCCATCAGTTCCATGAAACCATTGTAAAAAATATTTAGACTAAATTTTATGAACTGCACACGTACACTACTCTGTATTTCCGAGCTGCTCTGAGTTGACACAACGAATATTTCAAATTAAAAAAAAATACAACAACCTTCGAGGATATCGACAATAACCCAAGTGGATCGCCTCGGAGACAGTCAGTTCCTGCATTATATACTATTATATCAGGTCGAAATTCGCTTAGGGCATCTTCAAGATTATTCGAAAGTAAGGAAAGATATTCTGCATCTTGTGTACCAATATGAAGATGAACTGATTTTCTTATAGCATCTAAAGGATAGAAATAACTTTGAAACTACTACAAAACGTGATAAAATGTTACAAATATATGAAAGAAAATTAATTTCGTCTAGTATTCTTAATTTAAAGACAAAAATTAGCAAAAGTTTGACATTCAACCTTTATATAATAAACTGCACCAGAAAAACTTCCACGTCAGTATCTAATAAGAAATTTACTTCCATATATTAAATCTAAAGACTACATTTTCGATTTCACGGACGTATTTCTTTTTGGCTTCATAACAAAATGAGCTTACGTCTTGCTCTCAAATCGTGTGGATAAATGAAATTATTGAACATATCCAGTATAAAAACCCGATTGTCTCCGCAAAAATCATTTTCATGACCATTACCCTGAAGGAACTGCTTAATCAACAAAGAATCGAGAATTAAAAAAGAACTGGAGTACAGTGGAAATCAAAAAGAACAGTAAGTTAGAACAATATGTAAGAAAGGACGCGAAAAATGAGTAATAGCAAGACATAAAGATGCAAAACTGTATATGAAATAACCTGATGCGCATCTAAATCTACAATCATTGCTTTTGAAATCAACTGATTGACGAATAAGAATGTTAGTGCCAAGGTGATATCAGCATAAATACAAAATCCGCCGCCCTTTGAACGGCTTGCATGATGGAAACCGCCACCAATATTTATTGCCCAACCGGATTTTAATGCAAGCTTAGCTGCCAGTATTGTGCCACCTTCAATGATAAATAAATATGCATTTATCCATTTGTGTAATTCAAAAAGTGCAGCATGGTATGCATTTTTTAACAGGTACGCACCAATGCATTTAATGCATTGCGTTCATAACCTGTATAAATGAGTAGTAAAACAAATAAAACACAACGTATTGCTATCTGTTTATCAAACTTACCAGTATGATATCGGAATGGTTTCAGGAGGACTTTGTTGATAATACATGGAGGTATCAGTGCAACGGGTGTAACTTCAACCACCTTCGAAACATAACATGGACAATGTAATAATGAGAGGTAGGTCGACGAATGCACAACACGTAGATCGTCCATGCTTGCTTCTGATGGCCTTATAGTTTGCCTTTCTTCAAACATTCTTGATTCTGGAATGAAAGGAAGAAAACGATAAGATTTATTCAAGTATACTTAGAAAACACAAAACAAAGGTTCAATGAAAATTATATTAAAACATTAATCACTAACTGCTTAAATGTTTTTAAGATGGGAACAAAAAATTTCAATTTTTTGGCCATTTTTCTTGAACCTAATAGGATAAATCTTGAACCTAAATAATAACATAAAATGAAACTTACGCAATAGTGTTTCATAAACGCGTCCCCATTTACGTGAATCAAATGGATGACATCGTTCGATTCCACAAAATGAAATATTATAAATCGGATGATATACAATTGGCAATTGATCTCCTTCAATTTCCTTGTACAGCTTTGATGCTTTCACAGCGGTTAATTGTCTGCTTAAAGAAAAAAAGACCAAATAATCAAATCGCTGTTCAAAATTCAGATTCAAAAGAATACAGCAGTTTTGACACTCCTCAACAGTCACCAGTATTATTAACCATCTAATCAATCAATACAATACGTTAACGACAGAATAACATATCGGACAATAATTATGCAAATCACCTATTAAAAAAAAAGAACCGCCACTGATCAATTCATACTGATCCAAAATTAGATTGATTCAAACCTGTTTGCCAGTGGTTTTTCGATGGAATTTCGATCACTTCTACCAATAAATCTTTCTTCAGCCATATTAGATCAATATATTAATGATTACAAGTTAAACCGAAATTTAAGTAATGCAGGAAGATACATTTGAAATGAGAATGATTCCTGAAAAAAAAAATGCAATCTGCTTATTTTTCAACTCCTTCTTGATTCGTGAATAATTAAAATTATTGATTCCTAATTTATTGATATTATAAAATTTTCAATTTCATCAAACAGACCGAATTAACATCTAATTATCTTTCACGACTAATTTCAGCATAAGAAAACATTCCCATAACGAAATTATAATATAAACGCAATGATGCAAAATAGAATACATTAAATTTGAAAGCATTGATAAAATTGATAAAATTTTATTGATAAAGCATTGATAAAATTTCAGAACTAGAATGAACTGAGGAATAATATTGATAAAAATAAAAAATTGGAAGAAATATTCCTAAAAGATTTGATGAAAATTTTTCGAGAGATAATAATGCAAAACATACGACGATATGAAAATATAACATTCTCATAGTAAAAAAGGGCAGCATGATAGTTGCGGATTTGTCAATAAACAACCAATGGGAAAGGTTTAAATAGCTAAGCAATAAGTTGATTAAATCAACTTGTGAAGTCTTTTGCTTCTTTCGATAAAATTACTTTATAGTTAAGAGATGAGACGATAATTGATACTTCCTATACAAACCATATTTTTTGATTCTTTGATCAATTTCAGCGAATATTTTCATATGCTAATTAAGGTAACAGTTAAATCGATAATTTACACCGTTCAAATTTATTCATAAACGTTTTTACATATGAATATTTCGAATAATTCTAATTTCTTTCCTTTTTTTCTCTTCATCTAAATGACAGATGTTACATTCATCCAAAAATTTTTTTTCTTTGTAACTATACGAAATGATAATTGATATTTAACTCTTATACTGTTTTATTTTATGTTTAGATTTCGAATATTACAGTTTATGATTTAGGATATGGTCAGGATATTTTGGTGAATTATTAAAATGATAATTAATCTGAGCGCTAAAAGTGGGACATAAAATTCATTGCATCTTCATCTTTCTCATTTAATTCTCTTCTCTTCCACTTTATCGATTTGTGATCTGTGAACTACTCCCGTAATGCACGATATATACATAGGTTGTTTTCACTGTCATATTTCTTCCTATGGTTATTACTTCGGTCAGAGGGTTTCTATTTAGTTTTGTTATCTGTACATATATTGGACACTCTTATTGTATGACTGATGTGAGAAATGAAAGCTGCACTAAAATATCAATGGTTATAGGTTAGTCATTCTCGTGATGCTGTTGTTGTTTTTATTGTTGTTGTTGTTGTTTGTGTTATTTTTCTACATTGCTTACTTTAGAGTTTATCCGATCCAATTTGTTATATTGTTTGTGTATATTAGGTAACTATAAACTATTATAACTACTGTTATAGTGTCTGTATGATATGCGAAATGAAAACCTAACCAGAAATAACCAGTAGTTATAATAGTTTAGTCACTTTCGTGATGCTGTTGTTGTTGTTGCATTTTCAGCCTCCTACGCAATCAATGATTCTTCTTCTCTTTAACTTTACACACTTTTATTTTCGAATAGTGTGCGTTAGTAATGTGTTTTTCCGAAGATGTTAATTATTAGAATGTTAAATTCTTTCTAATATCCTGTTAAAGCTGTCTGAGAACTGAAAGCGTTAGAAGTTGGTCGAATTGTTCGAAGGTATGGTGGGTATCGGTGAGAAGCAACATGCTGCAGTTAGTAGATTTTTTCGTCGTAAAGAATTTGGAAAAAATGTGCCTAATTCATGGGAATTTCCATTTCTTGATCTTCCCAGTAGAAAAATCTATCAAAAGGATGTGAAAGGTCATTACGGTTGTGTAAATGCTATCGAAGCATCAACGGATGAAAATTTCTTAGCTAGTGGTAAGTTAACTGTTTCTGTTTTAGTATTTTCTTTGTCTTTGTTTTCGTTTTATTATTGCTTATAAAAAAACTAAAAGAAGTTAAGAAACAAAAGATACAGCTATCTTTATGTGTTTACAATACGAAAATATTTTGCAATGTATATTAGACACTGTTAGTGTCTATCTGATATGCGAAATGGAAATCGAACTGAAATAACCAGTAGTTATAGTTTAACTCATATTGCTGTAAGTTAATTCTGTTAAATTGAAATTGATATGATTATTTTTTTACGATATTTTTCATCTTATATTATTTACTGCTGTAATAAAAACAGTTTCGGATAATAAAATTATTTTCCTTTATATGTTTCTTATTTTTCTTTTTTGTCTTGTTATAGAAAATTGAATTAACACTAGGAAAGAATTGTATTTTTTTTAGTTAGAAGCTTTAAAGTAAATATTGTTATAGGTGGCGATGATCGACGTGTGTTAATGTGGAAACTTAGTGATGTGCAAGTAATGGAAAATCCAAAGCCTATAACTGTTATGAGACAAATGCATTACTCTAACATATTTTCTGTTGGATTTTCCAACAAGTTTGTTTTGGGATTACATTTTGCTGAGGCTTTAAAGATTTTGTTAAATCGGAACGTTTATAGAAAGTAAACCTAATAATCGGTGCATAAGACTGAATTGCTAATTGGAGGAGAAATATATTGTCAAATACCTACGGGAGTCTACAATTTAAGGGAATTGAACAGAAGTTTCAATGGGATGAGTTTTGGTCCCTCTATAGGGTGCTAATCGATTATGACTTGCTTAGGTTCTACTATATACCATGCTAAAGTAGCCTGGTACTGAGCTATACGTAACGCCAACATTATTCATGGTATTTTTCAGATGCGAAAGACTTTATTCTGCTGGAAATGACTCGTTTTTGTTTGTTCATGATATTTCTACTACTAGTGTGTTGCACCGTTTTAAAGCTGACGAACCTATTTATAATGTGGCCATAAATGTAAGATCACGTAATTAAGATAGGCTGAATTTGTTCAGATATGCTTGACACAATGATAACAGAAGAATGAAAAGAGTTCATATTTGTGGAAATGATAATTGTTATGATAATTCACAAAAATGAATGATTAGAATTAGTGGATCTACAGTACATTGCTCATGATATTTTAAATCGCAAAAAAATGCTTTACATATTCGAGTAATCGGCAAATCAATTAATTTTTTTAAGCAGAAATCTTTAACATAAATATGAGATGACTATCAAAACAAACTCCCGAACTTCACAGCAGTAATATATTCGGACTATTATAACTTTTTTTTTTTAGCCCAAAGATGATGCAGTAATAATGTCTGCCTCAGAAGATGGAAAAGTTCGTTTGTATGATTTGCGAGGGAGTGAAGAAACGCTTGCTGTTGAAAGTTCAGGTATGTTCCGTTGTCGATCTCTTGGAAGTTATATTTAACTTCCAAATTAAATTAAATTGAATTGAATTAGCTTTTAATAACAAAACAAACTTTCAGGAACGATGTACTGTGCTCAGTTCAATCCTCGGCAGGTGCACATTATATCGGTCTGTAATGGGCGTGATGGCTTATCGTTGCATGACATCCGTAAACTTGACAGGTTAGAGATTTCATAGTTCTTATTTGAAACTGCTCTCTAATTTGTTTTTTTTTTTAATATAATGGTATTCTCAATTAAAAGAAATAATAAAACACATGCACTCATTGACCATAGAGGATTACGAGGATGCTGACAAACACTCTTAATAAAGCTACCAAAAAGATAGAATATTAACCCGAGAAAAAGCTATCTCAACATTACAGGTAATATCCAATTACTAAAGGCACCAGTTAAAATAGACACAACAACAACAAAATTATTAAAACGTCATGTATAGTTAAGGCCGAATTATAAACTTGATCACTTCCAAAAAATAACCTTCAAGATTAGATAATTCAAAATGCATGACTATGGATATAAATAAGCACCTAAACTAGCTTAAATCCAAAAACAATAAAATAATAAAAGAAGACACACTGGAGTTCTTTGCAATTTATAAGTTGTTGTAAAAGGGATTTTACTGATTTCAAATGCACTGAAATGCTTATTTACCAGAAAACAGTCAAATGTCAAGTTTAATGGTGTTTAAAGTTTTCAGCCCTTGTTTCCAGTTTGATCAGTTGACTACTGCACACGTTAATTTAAATATTAGTTCTGTTATGTATGGTCAGTGGAGTGACGATGGGGAAGCTATTTTTGCCACGCGCAGCCGTACCTCACCCATATTGTATGACGTATGTTTTTTAAAATATCACAATTTACATTAAAAGTTTTTGTGATTACATTAGACTGTGGATTGGAGCTCGATGCTTCCTGTCATTTAGTTAATTTAATTAGGACAAGCAATCATACACTGTTCACTTAAAAATAAGTCGAACAGGATTGTAATGTTCTTGTTAATGAACCTATTAGCTTGATTCTTTTAAGTGTCCTAGGCACATTTTTATGATTTTACATATTAAAGCAGAACCTAATAATATAAGTAAAGGTGAAATTGGAAGGATGCCTTTTAAATTCCATGTCATTGTTAATTATTGTTAGCCAATAATCTTAGTCCTCTTACAGGGAATGTGATAGGATAGTGAGGCATTTTTTATTTTTAAATATAATTTCCATCTCAAGCAGGTTCGATTGGCACTTTATATATTTTCCGTCAAATTTATTTAAGTTAAATGGTGGTGGCAGTGTGGAATTCAACGACCCTAATTATCTTAATTCTTGTACAGTTAAATCATGTTCATTTATAAGTCGTGATCTTGTAATGACTGGTTCCGATGACTGGAATATATATATATGGAAAGTGCCTGAGGACCGAGAAGCTATTGGTAAAAGTGTTTTTCTTCTGAAAGTATTTTGCATAGCACGGTGTCATACGGACATCGATTTAATGTAAAAAAAATTTCTGTCGATTTTTGCTAATGACATACCGTACACATTATTACATGAATGCTTACATTAAAACAAACTGTGCATTTTCTAATTTTTTTCAGGACAAAACGTGGATAAAGCTTATCGGGTTTTAGAAGGTCATCGGTCGATTGTCAACCATGCACGCTACAGTTCTCTGAACAGGCTTCTGTTCTCATCAGGAGTTGAAAAGATTATCAAAGTAATAACTGGAATATTTCTGTTTCAAGTTAAAAAATAACTGGAATATTTCTGTTTCAAGTTAAAATTTCTTGACTGCCAGAAATTTATTCCATCATTACATTTTTGAAAACAATTTGATACCCCATATTTCTCGGAAAGTATGTGCGATCGCGCTATTGACTAAGAGAAACGCTGTGCTGTATGAACAGATTGTTGTAGTATCATGAACTATATCTTCTTGAATTCGAGATGATATTTAGTTTTTTTCAGTTATGGAGCGCATGGGATGGGAATGGCTTCTATTTGGAACCGAAAAGACGAAACATAATACCAAGCGCGGATTATTCTGATCCAGGAAATGGTGATAGTGTAGATGAAGATCTTAATATGCTTTCATTTTTCGATCTTCTCACTACTGTTCGTGGAAAGTTTTTCTAACTGTTCTGATTTGCGAAATTGAATTTTATTATAGAACTGATTGTTTTCTGGTCAAAATGTGATCAGAACTCTGGGTTTCTTAATAAATTAGAGATTATAGTACGTCGTGAAGAGTAAAGGCGAAGATTTGGGTCTGTTCTTTTGAGTCGAATTAATATTTTTTTTCGCGCGTGTTCCAATTTATGCAAAAATTGCCTAAAAATTGAAACTTATAAATTACACTTCCAGAGCGGCATTGATGAAGAAGGCCCAGAGGATGATGGCTTTCATGACTTATCAGAAAATGATGCTAACAATGATCGAATGATGTTGGCAGCGAGATTAATGCAAAATGCTCAAGTAGGTTTTATAGTTTTCTGTAGCATTCGCATCACATATCTTGGTAACTTAAAAAATGATTTATAAACATTGAGCTGTCGCTGCAGTGAGAAGCCACATTATCTTGATAGGCTGATATTGTCAAGGATGTGCTTACACCTTTCGGCACGATCTGAGCGTTTTTTAGATGTAAAATAGGATCCTTTTTTCCATTTTTTTAATTTGTGAGGGTGCAAACTCTGAAAGATCTCCACTTTCAATGCTAGTAAAATAACCTTAAAGCTGTCAGTTTTCTTTCATTTGAGGATCATGGTGATGAGGGTGGAAGTGATCAAGAAGATAATAATGTAAATGATGATGCAGGATTACAGCACATAGAAGATAGATTATTTCTAGCACGCTTTAGGAGAAGAGCTGAGGTCAGCTTTAGTCATATTTTTACTTACTTAATATGCAAATCTATCGTTTATTTATTATATGAGATCTCCAAATTATTTTTCTTTCGAGGCCCAAAAAGCGCAAAAAATTTTGTAACTGATCCTTCAATATTTAAAAATTGAAGGAAGATAGATGAAGATACGGAATTAGTAGGTTCGAAATTTGGTTCTTCTCCAGTTTGACATGTTATTGAGTTACCCGTGAAAGGAAAATAGAAAATTGATTTTCTGATCGATCTGGAAAAGGGATAGAGAATTCATGTATGCAAGTTCTTGAGTGTTTACATTCTCTTTCCGTTGAGTTTTACTACCTTATATCATGAAGCCAACATTTTTTGTATGCAATGTAACTTAAGTTTCAGTTTCAGGAAATGGTGTATGTAGTATCATCTCCAGAAATGTCTGAACCGGAATTATTACCGGAAGGTGAAAGTGACAGTTCCCAGCCATTTACTAATGGTAAGTGTAAATTAGCATTTGTTTGTGCCTAAATTTTAGCTTTTGTTGATTGTTTAAAGTAGGAGAAATTTAGGTGATTGAACTCATATAAGTAGTCATGCGGTCATTTGTGGTCATTTTTAGTCCTAATATTTTAATTTCACATGACTCTTCTCTTTTGTTTTCTCCCAAAATCATACCCAAATATTATCCTAGGTTGATAACAGTTTGGTGAAGTTAGACTTAATTTTTTCTTGGACATGTCACATAAGCCTAAAGGTTACTTGATATTCAGTTAAATAGTGTAAGGTTACTGGAGTATACACTGACTTATGGTTTAAAGTTGTCTTTTTTTCAGCCGATGCATAATAGAAAGCAATGTTTCCTGGAATGTATTGCCTCATCCTTAGGTCCTTTAATTATTTTTTAAGTTAATATTTTAAATTATATTCCGTTATATTGTTTCATTGTTTTATAGCCATTCTGCTTCTTTCATGTGCATTACAATTTCTAAATTCTTACATTAAGCAGAAATTATTATGTTATATTCATGAATTCCATTGTTTTTTTTTTCAATGAATGCTCATGTAGGAAAAAAATAAGTTTATAAAACAAATTTTCATTTAATAATAACTGAGACTATCAAAGATTTAATTTCATTTACAGGAAATTTACTGCTATCTCCGCAACTAAAATTGAAGTACAAAAAAAAATAATGCTGCTAAAATTTCCTTATTCCAATAATTTTTAAAAACGATAATACAGAAAATATGTACGATAACAAACGATGTAAAGCTTTTCGACATAAAAAAATATTTGCATTGCAATAACTTATTTTACAAAATCCATGGATAGTACTTTCTTTTAGGAATTTCAATGGATCATTTCTTTCTTTTGTGCATACACTCTATTTTATTCCATGTAACTCGATTATATTTTATAATTGTCGTCTAGCCTAGGGATTGTTTTAGTTTATTCACGGGTAAAACTTTTTGTTGTTCCGTATGTTTTCAATTATGTAATTAATTCGTTCTTCTATATAGATTTTATGCATTTGTTTTCGTTTTTGGATAACAAATATTTCTCACTTAATCGCAATTTTTTATCATATTTAATTCCTACTTTGTTATTTTATTTAACTTTATTACTTTTAATAATGCTGTTGACATATTTTACAAATGTGAAATGGCCAATCATGGCTTATACGAATCATACCAATTGTAAATATATGCTTCTTGCATATCAGAGAAATCAATAATGTTTGAAAAAGGGATTCAAAAAAGAAAGATTCATACTTGGAAATTACCAATTACTGTTTTCTGAATCTTATAATGGTTTCTCAAATTAGAACATTTTCGTTTTATTCGTTAACTGTTCCATCATGTCTAGATGAAATTCATATTTGTGTAGTTAATTTAATATAACATCGCTAACCTTTCTGATCTTAATTTATGTTTGATACCAAGATCGTTGTTGCTACTCGCTTCAGATTTTTTTTGAGTGTTGAAAAGTCCCTCTCCTTTCATACAGTTTTGCTGAGTATGTGGTATTTAAACTAGCCTTATTTTTACATTATGTTGTGTGTCATCCTATTGAATGTCTTTTGAGAATTGTTTTAAGCCAAAGATTATATCTTTTAATTTATCCTTGCCTTTGCAGAAGAGATAGTCTTTAACTGAAGTGGGAATTTTTCAAATTAATTTAAAGTTTACTAAAATAGTCTCAAATGAGATGTAATTATCAATTAATCGATTGCACCAAAATATTTTTGCATTTATACATCATTCTTGGTTAATATAGATTGCGGTGTTAATCATTACGTTGTTGCATTTTTGTTATCCAAATTATACCACTTTCATAAAATTATTTGGATATTGCTCTGTTTGTTAGTTACATAAACGTGTTTGTTGTGTCCTCTTTTTTCAAGTCATTACAGTTATGCTAAAGTTGTAAAAATTTCAATAAATTATGGTTTAGTTGATGTTTGTCTTGTTTTTATTACACTGTATCATCAAAGTTACACATTTTTGCTTCAACAGGATAAAATGAAATATTAATTTTATAGTTTTATTTTATTAGAGTAAATCATAAATTGTAAATTTTCAAGATTTCTTGGAATAAACTTTTAAAGTACCTTCTATTATTAGGTTTTGAAGCATACTGATTTATAATATTTATCGTAAATTAAGTAAATTCATAATATTCATATTCATAATATTCATAATATAACATAATATCGTAAATTTATCATAAATTAATTTGTATGTATTATACAAGTATCATAGTATCATATCGATTAAATGCATCATTTTTTCTTCCATTTCCAATCATTCTTTTAAGGTTGAAAAAGCACAAATGATTACTTCAAAATGTATCATTTCTTTTAGCGGTTGCTAGGAAACAGATAAGCTATCGCAGGTTTTTATCCTTCTCATATTTACAACAGTATTTAGAATTTGTAGTGTGAAATATATATATATATATATGTAATGAAGGAGGAATAAAATGTAGTCAGGTATTATTTAATCGAAGGTAATCAAAGCATAATAAACGATATAAAAATAAAATCAATAAATTATTATATCGGAGGAAATAGTATGATTTTTGAAATAAATAAATTTGTTAGTAAAAATAATTTTTAGAATATTATTTATATATAATATTTGGATAAGAACAGAATTAATATGTTTCATTTTTTTTAAAAATAACCCAGAGCATATTAATCGCGAATAAACATCAATATGGAATTATAAGCAATAATATGATATGATTGCTATCAGTGATAGCAATTCGAAACTAAAAATATTTTTCTCCTCAAAATAAAGCTATTATGGATCAATTGAATAAATCAATAAAGTTAAATAATTTCAACAAAAATGCTAATTGTATTTTTTTTTCTTTGTCTTTATTTTTTGAGGCAAAATATTTTAGATTACAAATATTCAGTTTTTCACAATTTTATTAATATGCTGTTCGTATTATATAATCAAATTATATCCCTCTATTCCCACCTACAAAAAACATCAAACATTTTATACCGTATCATTTATACAATTCATTAATCATAGAAATACAAATCAGCGATAATATTAAACTCTCTCCTTTGGGGTATTTGTTTTTACTATTATTAATAAATTATTATTAATCATTATTATTGTTATTCATTATTATTTTTATCATTATTATTATTATCTGTTAGTATTATTATTAATATTATCACAATTCATTCATTTGAAATTCCTTTTTTTCGTTTTTATTTTGGTCTCATAATTAAAATGGATGATTATGTTGAATATATGATTTAAGCGTGAAGCAAATAAACCTAAGGTTAATGAGAAAATTTATCAACTTGATGAGTAAGATTATTATTATTAATATTATTATTATAATCATAATATTCATATGCATGAATTAAAATGAATGATTATGTTGAATATAACATCAGCGATGATTTAAGTATGAAGCAATTAAACCTAAAGTTAATGAGAAAATTTATCAACTTGATAAGTAAAATTATTATTATTATTATAATCATAATATTCATATACATGAATTAATTCACATTTTACTTATATCTAAATTTAATTAAATCTAAAATTAATGAGAAAAAAAAGACAATTGGATCTAAAGTTGATGAGGAAATTTATCAGCTTGATGAGTAAGATTATTACTATTACTATTGCTATTACTATTATTATTATTATTAATATTATTGCTATTATTATCTATTATAATTATAATATCCATTTATATGAATTAATCCATCATTTTAATTTATTCTTTTAATTAATATGGATGCCACTTTTTATTTTTTTCAAATAGCAATTTTTGACAAAATAATATTATCTCATTCCAATTCTTCCAATACCAATTTTCTCATATTCATTTATTGAAAACTATTATCAATAGATAGATGTATGGATGAGAAATGAGAATAAATAATTAAAAGAAATAGATTATAATTAATGGTGGAAAAAGTGAGCGCTATAATGTTAGCATAAAGTAATTAACAATAGCTATAACAATGATAGCATAAGTAATTAACAATAGCTGTCTACTATGTAAGAGCATTCCTGACGAAGAGGATTGATTTAATTTAATCAATTATAAAATGATTTTATTTGAAAAGTTTGTCTATCTCTTCTCTCTGTTATTCACTCCTATTTCTTTTTAATCCAACCCATCTTTCTCCACCACCTATTAACCCTTTATCCTCTTTCCACATCTTCAATACATTTTACTTTTCTCATTCTACCCAATTCATTTCCGGAGTGTAAGAGACCACTACTTCGTATTTCAATTGCTCATTGTTTAAATTGACTAATAGACGGAACCAGCATACTATTACTATTAAAAAGCAATTCAATCAATTTATTATCATCACTGATATCACTATTATTACCGTTGAGTATCATTATTATCAGTAACACTACTATCATCAACTATTACTAATCTATTATTTCCTTATTATTTTTCAACTTTTTATCACTATTTATCAAAATAAATTATCTGTCAAAAAATTTACATGAACGAAATTACTTCTGTTGTAAATCTTTCATTATATTTATTTATTAATTTATTATTATTGAATTCCATTTTCTACTACCTCTGATATTTTATCATCCAATTATTTATCATTATAAACTTAACAGATCGAATAGTAAAATTTGTATTATTCGCTGTAGCTTCAAATAATGCTCATTTAGTTTATTTAGAAAATATTTTTATCGATTTAAAAATCTAAACTACAAATCAACAAAATTAACCAATTCACTGTAATCTATTTCCACTTCTTCAATACTATTAAATCATAACTTTCATTGATTAACTATTTCCTGAAGTATTTCGCATAATTTCTGATAATATTATTAATACAAATTTTCCACTGTTATTTTCAACTAATCCTTTATTGCTAATTCACTTTTCTGTAAAAATGTTGCAAAACATAATTGACTATATCATATAGTTAATCGATCATTATAAAACTGTTAAACAAATTTGATGACAAATGTAATATATTCAATCAAGTGAATTATTCCACATCATAAAATGTCATAATTAAACGAATTTCAAATTTTACAACTGTCAAATAAATACTTGAAAATATTCAGCATTTTATTTTATTAAGGATATTGCTACTAATTTGTTTAATTTTTATTATATTAGCATAAATTTTATTAGCTTCTACAAAACAATTGTATTTGCTATTAAATGTGCTAAAACAAAAGAAGAAAGAAAGTAAAGAAACCGAAGGTATCATCAATCTTATTGCTATATTTACGGTGATAACGGTGATAAACGAAAATAAATTGGAAATTTAACCGTTGATATTTGCTGATTTATTAATTATTTGTTATTCATTAATTTCTTACTGTAAGAAATGCGGAAAGAAACGAAAATACGTTATCGAGAAGTTAATTCACCATTACAAATTCAAATTTTACTCTTCTTAATGATCTCATTTGCATTTATCGTTTTATTGTTGACTTTTCTGATTTTTTCATCCAAACAACACTACGGACAACAAACAACATTATTAAAACAACGTAATTCAATCATTAACAATATTTCAACCATAACTTCACAACCATATTTCAGGCTACCGACAAATATTCATCCATTACATTATAATCTTAAATTGCACGTATTTCTACCGTATCAAGATGGATTAAATTTTAATGAACGAAATTTTAGCATTAATGCCGATGTAACAATTCGTATTGCATGCTTTCAATCAACTGATCGAATTATTTTAAATGCTAAAAATTTGAAATTTGATGAAAATGATATAAGAGTGAAAAATAGTTATAATGAATCGATACCGCTGTTAAGCATTCATCGTTATCAACATAAGGTAGATGATATTCATGTTGTTGAGATAATACTAATGCAAGAGCTTCTTTCTGATCATGATTATTTGATTTATATCAAATATCAGGGTTTTATCAATGATGTTTGGACTGGTGGTCTTTATAAGACACAATATAATATCAATGAAGAGACAAGGTATAATTATTTCTTTTCATTTCTTTGAAATTTTATTATCTTAAAATTAAAATTATGATAATTGAATTAACAATTTTTGGAATGAAATTATTATCATATAAAATTTCAATTAAATTTCTTAAAAGTAACTTTTGCAAACTTTTTTAAAATCCATTTTAAATTATACTATTACTTTTAATTAGTAAAATAAAGTTGAATGAATTTTGTCTTTTGTTACCAGAAATTAATTTATTTTGTTAATTCAACAATATTTAGCAGTATACATATTCTTTATGCTAACTTAATTTTAGTTAATAAGAAATTTTTATTTTGCAAAAGATAATTTTATTTATTTATTTTTCTTTTCTCATTATTTATTATATCTCCGATATAATCCTTCGATATGCTATTTTTTTATTTCTATTAGAAGAAATTATTTTCTATAATTTTAAAATGATATTTGGATGGATATTATTTTGCATATATAATTACTTTTTGTCTTTGCCAATTTAAAGAGACAATATATCTGCAATATCGCAAATATTCCATAAATTACTGCAAAAAATAAACAAAGTTGTAGGATGCAAATTTTTTGCTTTTAAAGTAAATAATTGAAGTTGGAGAAATGTTCGCTTTAAATTATCAAAATATACATAATTATCATATATTATATTTGTATCGAATTAGAGAAATGTTCGCTTTAAATTATCAAAATATAATCATATAATTATCATATATTATATTTGTGTCGAGTTGGAGAAATGTTCGCATTGTATTATCAAAATATAATCACACACTTATCATATATTATATTTGTGTTAATTATCATATACTTATGAGCATGGCAAAAAACAACAATACTTCATCAATTTCTCATTTTCTTTATCGAAAAATTTCGTATAATTTGAAACGATCAATTTATGAATTCTACCATAAAATCAAAAATAACTCATCAGCGGTGATATCAAAACTAATTGCATTTCTATTTTAGATTTTTAGCACTTACACAACTACAACCAACAGATGCAAGTCGTTTATTACCATGTTTCGATGAGCCAGGAATGAAAGCAACATTTCGGATCAGTATAATTCATCCCATAGGTACATCAGCTGTTTCTAATTCACCAGTTCGTCGCTATCGTCATCTTAATTCGTGAGATTTTTTTGATTATTTTTGATTATTGCAATATTGAAAATAGAATAAGTAAAAATTGTTACAAAAGAAAATTAAATTGAAATTTGAAGCAATTAAATTAAAACTATGAAAAAAATTAATTAAAACTAATAATTTTATTTTAGGAATAATAAACCGATAGTGCTAAGTGAAAAATAAATCAATAAAAAATACGATAAATTTAGCTAGAAATATATGATCTTTGATTGGAATTGATTTTATAGGAAATGGATTAAAACAGATTTTGAGGTGACACCAATTATGTCAACTTATTTGCTAGCAATAGCTGTCAGTGATTTTGTTTTCAAATTTCGTCATTGTGGAAAAATTGAAGTTTGTTTTTATTTTTGCAATTATAACTAAAAAAAAAAAAGAAAATTTCATATTCGTAATTAATATGTTAAATTAAATAATTGAATAAAATGATTTTTAAGTTAGCAAAAAAAAAGAAAAAATATTTCGTTTAAAAAAATGTAAACGAAATGTTTTCAATGTTGAAAAAATTTTTCGCTATTGTCGGATCGCTACTTCATTTAAATTTCATTCATGAGATTCATCGGATCGTTGCTTCATTTAAATTTCATTCATGAGATTCATCGGATCGCTGCTTTATTTCAATTTCATTTCACAAGATAATTAAAAAAGTTCTTTCTGCTTTCTTCTTCATTTTTCGAAATTTTCAGCTGCAAACAAGTTTGAATTTTTTAATCGATTTTTTCCTACATTTTCTAAATTGACATTTTTCTTTTTTGTGGTATATTTTCGACGATTTTTTTTTTTTGTTAATTTTAACAAAATTTTCGTTGTAAAAATATTAATTTGAATTTTTAGGTTTATCATTGATTTCAAAATTTATTTCCATTTCAATAGCATTGTTGCAAATATGAATTTGAATTTTAGATTTATTTCTTTGATGCAATCATAAATTTGAATTTTTAGGCTTATCACTGATTTCAAAATTTATTTCCAATTCAATAGTTTAGCTCCTTGCATATACATCAAATTTATTAATACGTAGCATAATTTAAAGTTTATAAATCCATTCACTCATCACTTTAATTTCTTTCCTGATGAAATGTATTTTATTTCTTTGAGCTCAAATGTAGCCAAACATACTTATTTAATTCACAACACAAATCATAAAATACTTTTTTCATCTTAATAAAATATGCATTATTGTTCTATTAATATCAATAATTAAGTATTATAATCTTTGCTAGGCTTATCACTTGATGTCTTGCTGTATTAAAATAATTGATTCAGTTGTTGAGTGTTACGATTAAACTTCAGAAATAAAATTTCAGTAAAACTTTTACTACTATCAACTACTACTGAAATGATACAATTATCATTATGAAATTCTATTCAATCTATTTAAATTGTTCTATCCGATCATTTAACAAAATTGAATATATGCGAAAATTTATTCAATCATTTGTCATTATCATAATTTCTATAGGAAGAAAAAAAGCATTAGAAATGGATATTCTTAATTTAAGTATTATATAATAAGTTATTCATTACCCTGATTCAAGTATTTATAAAAATTAAAAATGAAAAATTATTTAGTATCTAATAATTTTTGAAACTTTTTTTTTTAGGAATGAATTTTTAAATTTATGCAAAAATTTGCATAAATTTAAAGTTATTTTTACCTTTATCAATTCATTTATCAAAATGAAAAAAGTAATTAAAAATATTAAATTGAAAAAATTAAAAGTATCAATTCTAACTTTCATCTTTTTCAAAGTTTTATATGATATGATTTAATGATTTGTATGATATAATTTATATGATATGATATGATTTATTGTATGATATGATTTATATAATATGATATGAATTATATATTATGATATGATGCAACATATGATATGATTTAATTTACAGCAATAACATACCATGTAAAAAAATCCTTATATCGAAAGATTGAAATAGCAGAAAATATGTCAAAGTACTAAAAGCAATTATTATTGAAATTTTAGGAATGGAATTTTTACCTTTTATTAGGAATGAATTTCAAGTAAAAAATAAAAGAGGGAATATAAAGTTAAATTTACAGATTCGTGTTTGGTGCCAATCAGCGGTGGTACATGATATCGATTATGCGTTAAATATTGCATGTCGATTATTAATTTATTATGAAAATTTCTTCTCAATTCCATATCCACTCAAAAAACTTGGTATATTCAAATTATTCTTTAAACTTAATAGTTTTATTTTAAATTTTGATTGGAATAACTTTCATAATTTTTTGTTTTAAAATTTTTTTGGTACTTTTCAATTATTAATTTAATTAAGATCTAATAATTGGAATGATGACTGAATAAATTATAACAATAAATGATATTGATGATAGTTTTAGATTTGAAATTCAAACTGTTATGGATTTCATTATTTATTTTAATTTCTTAATGATAGTAATAATAATAATAATGATAATAATAATAATAATGATAGTCGGAAGTAATTAAAATTATTTCTTTTATTTTTCATAATTTTTTTTCTCACGATTTAAATATTTTTAACAATTGATAAATTGAAATTTTTATTTGTATTATTTTAGATATTTTCACAGCACCTGAATTACGTGTATTGGCAATGGAAAATTGGGGCTTAATTATTGTACGTCAAAAATTGATGCTTTACAATAAACATCTCAATAGTTTACGTGAGAGGAGAGTTGTCACAGATGTCATTGCACATGAAGTAGCTCATATGGTAAATTCACTTCCTTAACTTATCAAGAAGTAATTAATAAGGATGTCACAGATGTCATTGCACATGAAGTAGCTTACATGGTAAATTCACTTCCTTAATTTATTAAGAAGTAATTAGCTAGTAATCAGAATTCATTGCTTAGCAATATTTTTCAACAACAACAACAAAAAAATGTCAACATTGTCTGTATATGACAATAATTCCGAAGATTACAAAAAAAAATTCGATATTAACACAATTCCGGTTATTATGATATCAGGATTATTACCTGGAGTAGTTTAATAAGAAAATGGATTTAAGATTTCTTCAGCAAATCCATGAGAAAATTCAGTTTCCTATTTTTAGTGGTTTGGAAATTTAGCAACAATGCGTTGGTGGAATGATCTATGGTTAAATGAAGGTTTTGCAACGATGATGGGACAAAAAGCAGCTGATTTTGTTGAAAATACAACACTACGAATGGTACTTTATATCAAAATTTTTTCACACTAAAAAATTATAGCATTATAATCAAATATTTTAATAAAACCTAAAATTCCAAATAAAAATATCATTGAAATTAATTATCATAACGTATAAATCGATTACCTAAAAAGGATATATCAAAAATATTAATAGTTATATAAAACTAAATCCATTTCAACATAATACTAATTAAAATGTATACCACATAATACTAATTAAATTTTACATCAAAAATATAATCGATAAAATTTAACAAAACGCATTTTCAACGATTTATTTATGATTAATGAAATTCTTTAATGATTATTGATTTATTAATGCGTAATTTTATATTAATTAATAACTTGAAGATTTTATTATATAATACAAAATAGAAATAACAATTCTTTAATGATTATTAATTTATTCCAGGCATAATTTTATATTAATTTATAACTTGGAGTTTTTATTATATAATATAAATTAGAAATAGTAACATTTTATGATAGAATTTTACCTTTAATTATGTATTTCGAATTATTCCAAAAAATCAATAAAATTTTTTTGAAATAACTCGTAATTTTCAGGTAGCTAATTGAAGTCACATATATTTTAATATACTGTTAATTAATCATATTTATTATCTTAATTAATTCATGTAAAAATTAATTAATGAAACTTTCAAAATGAATTTTTTCCTTGCAGTCACAATGTTTTGCGGCTGATATAACTTTAAAAGCATTATCAAGTGATCAATATACAACAATGACACAACCGATAAGTTTGAAAGAGAACAGCGATCGTATACATGGTCAAGATATTAAAATAATCTATAATAAGGTATTCAATATAAATTTCTTATTGCCTATAATTTTTATGATTGTTAATTTTAATTACGCTAAAAGTAAACATCTATCAAACTAATTAATTCCTGATTATTATTAATAAAGAGGAAAAGCGAAAAATAAAAGATTATGGAATATTATAACAATCCGTAGACATGATATATTATTAAATGATATAATATTCATTAAAACTATAAGTAATATTATGAATAAGTTGGATAAGTTTAATGATATAATATAAATTAAAACTTTAAGCAAATATTATGAATAAATTAGATGAATTAAATGATATATTACACATTAAAACAATAAGCAATATTATGAATGAGTTAAATAAATCAAATGATATATTTTTCATAACATGAAAAATTATAAGTAATATTGTAAAATAAGTTTGACAAATAAAACGGTATATTATTAAATGATATAATATATATTAAAACTACAAGTAATACTATGAATAAGTAAGATAAATTAAATGATATATTATAAATTAAAACTACAAGTAATATTATGAATAAGTTCGATAAATTAAATGATATGTAAGTTTAGATGTGATAGTAATATTTTTAACTAATACGATCGGATAAATTTTAATCATTTCAAATGATAATTATTACTAAATAATAATTACATTAAATATTTTGCTACTTTAGGGTGCAGCAGTAATTCGTATGGTGGAATCAACAATTGGTCAGGAAGTATTTCGAAAAGGATTAAACCTTTATCTGGTTGAATTTGCTTATGCAAATGCTGATAAGAGCAATCTTTTAAGGAGTTTTTCAAAGTACATCCATATTTTAATTATTTAATATAAAATTTAAATGCTAATATTATAAGCCAATGATAAAGAACAATTGATATATTCGATAGATAATTTAGGAGCAACACATAAAATTACGATATATATTATGCAAACAAATATTTATAATGATTTAAATTTTACCTGAAATTTTTCGAAATACATTTGCTGTAAAAAAATTAAATTATTTCTTCGATTGAATTTTTTAGGATTTAAAATTTTTAAAATAAATTCAGGAATTTTTTCCTTTGTTTTTTTATCTTATTTAACATTTGTTCATTAATTATTGTATAAATTATTAATTCATATAATATTCATTAGCGATATTTTTGTTGAGTTAAATTTTTAGAGCAATGGTTTATCATCATAATCCATTCTTTGGTACCAATTTTTCAGTCTATAATTATATTGATTCTTGGATTTATCAACGAGGATTTCCATTACTAAAAGTATTTACACGTTCACTCTCTTTTCTCTTAATAATTTCAGGAACTATCGTTTTTCTTTTTAATTTCAAAATTAATTTATCGCTAATTTTTGTAGAATTAATTAATGAATAAAATTAGTAATAGCATAATGAGAAGATATCAGAAAACAAAAGTTTTAATTTTAAAAGTTGCAAAGTATCATGGAGAAGAGAAAAGAATGGAAATGGATACATTAACTTCATATCATAGCTGAAATAAAATTTGCAACATTAATTTAATTTTGTTTTAATTATTATAATAGATTTAATAAAATATTTTACGTTAAAATTTAGCTAAAAAAGAGATTAAGAATTTATAATATCATATATTTAATTAATATTTTCTATGAAAAATATTAGTAATTAGTAAATGAATAGTTTTATGTAAAATGAATAGTTTTAATGAATAGTAATTAGTAAACGAACAGTTTTATTAATTATTCCTAACATAGAATTTACAATATTAATTTGTGCTATTAGGTTCGACAAATTGGTGATTATTTTGAAATTACTCAACAAATATTTGATTTTGATAATAATAATCAATTTGCTGATACGCAATGGAAAGTACCGATATTTACACGAGAAAATCAACATGATGAAATTCATTGGTTAGAAGAGAATAAAAAATGTATGCTTCAATTTTTATTATATTCAATTTTATATCTAATTATTTGACTAAAATTATTCATTGATTTTTTTACTACAATGTTGTAATATTATCACATGCACAATAATATATATCATATCTTCATCTATCCTATATTAATTTATCACTTAAATTTATCATATTCAATCTTATATCTAGTTAATCGACCAAAATTATTGATTATTTTACTACAATGTTGTGATATTATCACATGCACAATAATATATATCATATCTTCATCTATCATATATTTATTTATCACTTGTATCATTCAAAAAAGTATTAATTTATACATATATAGGTTATTATTGATTATTTTAACGTTTGATAAATATGGCAGAGGTATAAAATAATAGATAAAGAAATATTAATTATTTGACTACAATATTATGATACTATCACATTCATAATAATATATTAATCATAACCTTAATCATAACATATATTAATTTAATATATCTTAATCATAACATATATTAATTTATCACTTGTATCGATCAAAAAAGCACAACTGCTTTAAACATGTATTAGATATTATTGATTATTTTAATGTTTAAAAAACATGATTAAGATATAAAATATGATAGATAATGATAAATTAATTGCATTTCGAATACTATTACGTTACTCTTAAAAGCAATAATTTATTAAAAGAAAATATTAAAAGAAGCGATTAAATGATTAATTTAATCTAATTGCTTAAATAAATTTTTAGTAAAACTATTCCATGGATCACATAAATTAGTATTAGATCCAAATTTTCATGGTTATTATCGTATCGAATATGAACTTCACTATTGGAAGCTTCTCATTGATCATTTACTCTACAAACATAATTATTTTTCTGTTTCAACACGATTTAAATTACTCGGTAACTTGTTTAATTCTTTTATTCTATTAATTAATCTTTTAAGAAAGGAAATAACCAAATTTATCAGGACTAATCAAATTTATCAAAAGTGATCGGATTTATCAGTAACTTGTTTAATTCTTTTATTCTATTACTTAATCTTTAAAAAAAAGAACTAATCAAATTTATCAAAAATAATCAAATTTATCAGAACTAATCAAATTTGTCAAAAGCAATCAAATTTATCAGAACTAATCAAATTTATCACAAGTAATCCAATTTATCAAAAATAATCAAATTTATCAGAAGTAATCAATTTATCAAAAACGATTCATTCCACATTTTCAAAAATTTCTTATATATAAATTTGGCTAATTCATCAAATTATCAAAATCATCAAAAAGTGGATTACTTGTGATAAATTTGATATTATCAAAATTATCAAAAATTTATTGTTTCCTTTTTTTGAAAGCTTAAATAACTTTTAGATTAAAAAAATTTCTTTCTTTAAATTATTATTTGAAAAGATAAAAGAAGTAATCATTTATTTTGTATTGTTTTAATTTTAAAATTTAATTAAAATGCAAATTTCTTTCAGATGATGCATTTGTATTAGCTGAAATTGGTAACATACCGTATGCAATACCAATGAAAATGTCACTGTATCTTACAAATGAAACAAAAGTTGTACCATTTATAACATTTCTTACACGTTTTGAAACAATCCTCTATCGTGTTTATCGTCATCCAAATGCAACACTTTTTAATGTATCTTTTTCAATGATAAGTTAATTAAAGTTAATAATTAATTTCAATTTTTCATATATAATTGTTTAAATTTAATTGATTAATTAATTGATTAATTTCAATTAATCAATCAATTGATGGATGATAATCGAAGTATTGCAACTTTAGTTGTGATCATAATAAATGTTGAAAATTTTAAACTATATGATAATTGGATGGATGACACTCGAAGTATTGCAACTTTAGTTGTGAAATTCAAGTTGTCACACTCATCGACCACTTTCAGACTATTCTGGAAAGTTGGATTAGATGAAAGAGTGTGCAGCGTATATCTGTGGAATCATTTCTCACTTTTGGTCGTAATTATTCGAAATTGCAGAAATATATGCAGTTTCTCATGGAGCCACCGTTTCAACGAATTGTTAATGCTGAAAGTAACGGAAATATTTCACATAATATGGAATTTGAGTAAGTATTTAAGTATTTCAGTATTGAAATTTATTTATAAAAATTATTAGCACAAAAAAAAAATATGCAAATATTTCAGAAGTTAAAAAATTTATATAAATTTATTTTTTGCTTCTAAAAGAAGTATATGAATGTTATTTAATAAAATGATTGTAGAATTTAAATTTTATTTATTTTATATTTTAAATTTTATTTATTTATTTTTATTTAAAATTTAAATTTTATTTATTTTATATTTTAAAGAGATATAATATGACAGAATAATTAATTATCGTTATTTATATTATATCTGTTTAAAATATAAATAAATAAAATGAAATTTAAAATATAAAAACAAAATCTAAAATATAAACATATATATAATATAGGTAATATGTCAGAATAATTTATTCATTTTATGTTAAATATTATTTGTATTTTAAACAGATATAATTAACAGATAACAGATAATTAACAGTTATCCGAGATATAATAAACAGATAATGTAATCCGGAATGTATTCCGGATAATGGATTTCATTAGAATAAAAAAAGTAGTGGGAAGATGATATGATTTTAGTTTTCCTGTATTTCTTACCTTTTTTTTCCATATTTAGATTTGTAAGAGAATTGATATATTTAAAAATGTGTGCCAGTGGCTATCAACGATGTATTGAAATGTTTCGTTCACGTTTAAAGGAACTTTATGAAAATTGTACGGAACAATCACTTAGCAATGGTTGCAATAGGTAAAATAAAATTTGCAATTATTATTTCTTTCGTTTTTCTTTTAACCTAGAATATTTAATGGAGTAATTTTGAAGTTATATTATTTATTATTATATATTGTTAGTTATGTAATTTATTATATTATTTATTGTAATTTCAAAATTATTTCATACTTTTTTTTAGGATTCAATTTTACCTCTTTGTTTTATTTCGATATCTTTTTTGGATAGTGTTAAATTTAAGGTTCATCAAAAATTTTGATCGTTGATTGCATATAGTTTATTGAGTGTAATAATAGCTGACTAATAATAAAGTTTACGTATATATAATAAAGTATACATGTACATAATATGGTATACACATATATAAGCAAGTAAGACCAATAGTTGTAAAATATATATAAGTCAAATTTTTCATCAGAAAATTTAAAAGTAGTAAAGGTAAGTTAAAAAGATTAAATTACTATCTAATGAGAGTGTAATAAATAAAATTTAGCTAATACTCAATGAATTCACTGTTTCAATTTGTAAAGCAAACAAAGAAAATAATGACTTAAAAAAACTTTTTCCGAATAAATTTACCAAGCTTTCCTGATCCGGAATCTTTTTCATTTTGTAATTAATTTAATAATTATAAAAATAAGGAACAGAAAAAGAAACTATAATATTATCCGTTCTAATATAACAGATACAATTTATTTCTATAATTATTTTTCATCGAATTATTTCTTCCTTTTATTATTTGCGCTTAGCAAAGAAAAAGTTTAATAATTTAATTATATATTTGTTTAAGATTAGAAGCAAGCCTACGTAATACGGCTTATACGGTAGCAACCAAATACGGGAATCAGGCGGAATTAACATTTATGATCAATAAGTTACATGCAGAAGAATATCACGTTGAACGTGATAGGATTTTTTCCGCACTTGCCAGTAGCTCTAATCATTCTTACATTGAAATGTAAGTGAAATGTAATATAATATTAATTAACTTTGCTATTTAATTAATTAATTAAAAGATAACATCTTAGATTAGTTAAATAATCTTAAATTTAGTCTTAAATTTAGTAAATTTAGTTAAATTTCTTTTGAATTCAACTTTTTAATTTATTAAATTTATCATTTGATTTAAAAATAAGATAATATTTATTTAGGAAGAAATATTTCTGTATTCAAAACTTAATTTAAAAAGTTTTTCCTCAATCATTTTTCCTTTTGTTTTTCAGGATAGTAAAAGAAGTGTTAATTAAAAAAGAGAAAGATACTGATTTTCGACCTAAATTATACGAACTTTCAAGGTTTAGCAAATTCCATTAAAACATTGTTCATTTTTTAAAAATTATTTTTATTATTAATTTCGAAAATTAATTAATCAATTAAATTCAATTTTATTTCATTCATTTTTTTTTTAATTTATTATTCGATTTAATTTTCGAAATTCTAGGAAAAATTATGATAATGGAGCAGTTGAACAATACATATTTAATAATTTTGCTGATCTTGTCAAGAGGTTATTTTATTTCGTTTTTCTTGACAGCTAAAATTACAATGTTATCAAATGTTTCACTGTTTGTTTAATTTGCTTAGATTATGATTAATTATTTTTGGTAAATGATAATTTGAAATGATTTATAAATTATAAATTATAGGCACGAAAAGTATGGATCATTTTTTATACTTCAAATGGCAAGAGGATATGGTACTAATGAAGATTTGCATAAAGTTAGTGCTCTTTTATAATTATGTTAAAATATTTTAAAAAATAAAGAAAATGTTTTTGCATGCAAAACATGCATCATAAGATATTTTCTTTCTTTTGCATGCCATGTAAATTTTAGTTTTGCAATTGCAAATCAATTAATTAATAACTTTTAATGTTTATCAAATAAAAAAATGATAAAGATACTGTGATAATAACTTTTAATAAATGGCTGAAACTGTAAAAAATGGCGAAAATTTCCCGCAAGGAGAGGTTTTACAGTAGCATTGGAATGCTTCTTCATGTGCTGTTTGTGGCTGGTCCTTTGGATTTTTGGTACTGGATTCGGGCCAGCCTGA